GGGTCTTGTTTGACCCTCAACTATCCTTTCTACCCCACATCTGTGCCATGACCCACTCTGCCTTCCCCCACCTCTGCAACATCGCCCCGCTCCGACACTGTCTCACACCGCAGGCCGCCAAAACCCTCAGACATGCTTTCATTACATCCAGGCTTGACTATGCAAACTCACTGCTTGTCGGCCTCCCCAACTCCTCCCAACACAGGCTGCAGATCATCCAAAACTCATGCAGCCCGTGTCCTCTCCTGCACCCCCATCCTCACCCGACTCCACTGGCTTCCCATCACACAGTTAAAGATCCTGGTCCTCACCTTCAAAGCCCTCCACGGTCTTGCTCCCCCCTACCCCTGTGACTCCTAACCCCCTACCACCCTGCTCACTCCCTCCGCTCAGCGGGCTCCGGCCTGCTTCACATCCCCTGCCTCTCTCGCCCCACTATTGGCGGGCGGGCCTTCTGGCACTCTACCCCACCCTCTCGAACTCCATCGTGCAGTCCCTCCACCTCACCCCCTTTCTTGCCTCCTTCAAGACCCATCTCAAAAACCTCCTCTTCAATCGTGTTTTCGATCTCCCTGCTTCCCCCCCTGCCCTTCACCCTCCCTGGCCCCGACCCCCAACTTGGGTCCGAAACTCTGTCTGTCCAGCTCCTTGGGACGTCCTCCCGATGTGGAAGGCGTTTTACGAATGTAATTTTGCTGCTGCTGTTGTTGTTGACAGAGGTTACCTGTGAAGTACTTTGAGACATTATTGATATTAACAGCGCTACATCCAATGCAATAATTATTGATGATTTATTGAATATCTGTAGATTTTTCCCACGCTAAGCAAATTTACTACATGCCTCTCTTTAAGTTAAACCGACCGGCTATCAACTGCATTTGCTCATACTTGTTGCTGTTGTCACTAATTTGTTCTTGCACTTTTTCCATTGCTTTCCTTTCTGTTATTTTGGCAATTTTATCAGCTGCTGTTATCATCCTCCACCACTCTGCCCTGGTTCAGTGGTTCATTCCACGTGAAACCTATTATTGGTACTATTTATCAGAAGAAATGCACTGTTAGGGGTGTAAATGAGACATTAAGCCAAGGTCCTGTCTGCCTGGTTAGGTGGATGTTAAAGATCCCCATGGCACTACGTGAAAAAGGAAGAGAGTTTTTCCCAGTGTCCTCGTCAACCATTGCCCAGATAAAATTGATAGGGGACTCCTAATTTTCATTCGGAGAAACATTTAATTGTAAACCTTCAACCCCTGTTTAGTCTGTTTTAAAATGTTTATTTGTGTTCCTACTTTCAGTCCAAACATTATTTTGTTTTTAACCTCAGGATCAGCAATGAGTTACTCCCTCAGTTTGTTCATCCATTCCTTCATTCAGGTTTACCATATTGTCTGAGCCTCTTCCCACCAGAATGCAGTTCAATTGAACTGCAGTAGTTACCTCCGCAAACTGATCCCAACGTTTTTCCAGGGAGATACTTAGCAACTTAATAAGAATTATAACATTATAAAAGACGAATAAAAATAATTAACGGGTCACTGCTGTTGAAGCTTTTTAACTGAATTAATGAACTGTTAAGATACTGGAACAGAACATGCTTTATTGAAAATAACGCAAATGAACAGGAGCAATACACTACGAATATGCTGATAGATTCAGAAATAATAAAAATGGATTGATTTGCTTTCTTGTGAGTGCTGCAGACTGGAATAGGCAGTTTTCCGCGACTGTTTGTGGGACACTGCTGTGCGCGTTTCGCCCACAAAATATACAGTCAATTCACTTTACAGTAAATTCACGTCTAGAAGACGTGAAAAGCGCTATATCAAATGCAAGGATTATTATTCTTTGTGTGTTGTGTCTTGAGGAAATTATTATTATAAATGTATGCATCATGTTGAGCAGCCGAGATAATAATAATAATCATAATAATAATCCTTGCATTTGATGCAGCTCCTTATCACGTCTTCGAGACGTCTCAAAGCGCTTCGCAGGATATACTGCAAAGTGAATTGACTGTATATTTTTGCGGGCGAAACTATCGAGAGATGTCTTCCTAATTCATAAGATTCCAAGTCACCAGCAGGACATTTCAGACTGAGATGCACGCTTAGAAATTGGGAAACTAAACTGTAAGGAATGTTACAGTGGCCGCTGGCAAGGGGATATCTGTATTGCCTTTCGCAGGGCCACCAGAGTGCAGTGTTGCTTTGCTTTCGGTAGCAATCTGACTGCAGTAATGCTGTAATGCTGCAACCACAATTGCTGTGCCCCTTGAGCTGGTAACACAAATAGACATTTCCTTTGCCGCTGGTGCAGAAAATGCTCTGGGGTTTGGGATACCTAATATACTGAGCCGTCCATATTGGTGAGACATTTACAGTTAGACTGATGCAGAATGCAATTGCGCTTAGACACGTGGAGCTGGATTCAGTTTTAATTCTGATGTTTAAGTCACTTGCAAGTCATCTTTTTGCGATCAAAATGAATCGATTGTCAGTCCCACTGAGTGACACTGGTCTTTGCATCTGCATGGACTTTTATAGTATTTAAGATGTTGTCTGGAATAATAATACTAATATTCCTTGCATTTGCATTTGGTATAGTGCCTTATCCTGTCTTTGAAATGTCTCAAAGAGCTTCACAGAATATACCATAAAGTGAATTGACTGTATATGTTGTGGAATGGGAGTACACTCACTTTGTCATTGGCAACTAAGCAATTGTAGATTCATTGTGTTGTGCAGTGTTATCACCACACCAGTGGGCTTTTATTTTCCGATGAGTAACACTTCTTTAAGAAAGATTTTTTTTAAAAAGAAATCATGTTTCCTTCATTAAGTTATATTTTGTCTATACATTCTCATTACATCTACTAAATACATAGTTACTACACTAAACTATATCCCGTGAAGTGCTCTGTGATGTCCTCCCAACATGGTATGCTCAGCGGGCTCCGGCCTGCTTCATGTCCCCCACCTTGACTGCCCCACCACTGGCGGGTGGGCCTTCAGCCTCTCTGTCCCCGCCCTCTGGAACTCCATCCCACAGTCCCTCTGCCTCACCCCCTCCCTTGCCTCCTTCAAGATCCGTCTCTTTGTCCGTGTCTTTGGTCACCCTCCTACCCCTACCCTCCCCGTCCTCCACCCCACTTGTCCCCAACCCCCAGCTTGAGTAGGGATCCCTGACTGTCCAGCGTCTTGGGACGTCCTCCTGACGTGAAAGACGCTGTACAAAGGTAATTAGTTGTTATTGAATGTACCAAATGTAAGGATTATTTCTATTATGAATTAATTCTTCGCTCCACTCATCTTCGACTTTAATATAGATTTTAATGAATCAATATAACCTGCAATGACCAGTGTAGCATTCATATCGTTAGGAGTTCACTTTTTTTTTCTCTGGATTTGTATTTCGATTGCCGACATCTTAATGTCGCCATCTTGTGGTTACCAAATTGGTGTTATTATTGATAGCAAAGCTCTAAATTTGGTTTGGGGAATGCAAAAGTGGAGAAGGTGGAAAGAAAGACTGGTCAAATGTTTCTCACACTAAAACCCAAAATCTGTTAACTTACCTGGACATCAGAGAGAGAAAGCGAGGTCAAAGTTTTCTGTACAATCTTCAGAACATAGTAATAATAATATCTAGATTATGCTGTGCATATGGAGTCAATACAAAGAATACCTTTGAAGTACAATTACGATTAAGTGACTTACGTAGCAGTCCACCTCCCCAAAACAGTCAACACTTGGTTAAGATTAGGGAATGTATTTGCTTCTGCTGAGGTGTAAATGCAGGCAGTGCAGATACGTTTGACCTCTGGTCAAAAATCATCCCTTAAAGGTCCTTTGGCTTGACTGGCCCAGCTCATTGACATTAAAAACTGGTTGATTTTATTTTATCTTGTGGGTGAAATGAGGCAGCCAAGTGCGCACAGCAGTTTCCCAAAAACAGTTGCGGATTGAATTGACCAAATTCTTATTTTTTTAAAACTTTTCTGTTTTTTAAGGGATTATTACCCCCTGAAAAGCATCCGCCAATCGACTAACAATGAGTTTCCTACTTTCTGCTCAGTAAACAGAGGCGTCTGGAGTAAGGAAACTTGCCTAAGTGTCTCCCTGCCTGGGAATCGAACCTAGGTCCTCTCGCCTGCGAGACGCCTGTTCTAACCACTTACTACAGGACTCCATGTTTCGGTCACAAAATATACAGTCAATCCACTTTGCAGTATATTCTGTAAAGAGCTTTGAGACGTCTCGAAGACGTGATAAGGCGCTGTATCAAACACAAGGATTATTATTATAAAAAACATTTGATACCCAGAACCATTTGGTGCAGCTCTGGATACTTGCAAAGTTCCCCTCCACCACTAGGCAATTAATTTTGGAGTGGGAAATCTAAATGAAACTTCCTGCTTCTTGTCGCATTGAGCAATGCAGACGTATGGCCTAAGTTGAGCAGAAAATGGAAGGAAAAAAATCTGGCGTGTAGGCTGCTCTTGAAATTTCAGTAAGTTGTTTGAGTGGCGTGAAGGGAAGCTTCAGGAACAGGTTGTTTGACTTTGTGGGCCCATTAATTCGTTGCTTGCTGACTGCAAAATTCGCCGTCAAATGCTTCCATAAATAATACTGTGCACGTTGCATTTCGGAGGGGTCACCGTGAACATAAGGCGACAATTCTCGACCCCTTAGCAGCGAGAAGTGGATTCATAATACGGCTGAATACTATTGATTTCATTTTCTTCAAGCTAACAACTTCTGTCTGCGGAGTAAGTTCCATTCTTTGAACTGTGCTGATTAATTTGGTTTAGTGTTTTAACCTCTCAAAATTGATCAGGTATTGCAAGCAGCGACTGAGGCAGAAGTTCAATACAGTGATTAAAAAGGAGGATTTGATCATCCACTTACCAAATGGAACTTGATGCACATAAATAAAAGCCGCTGATGTGCTTGCGCGGTGTTTGATTTTGTTTTTTTTCCCGACGTTTCTTCCTCTAACAGGGTGACATTTACATGTACGGGGGCAAAGTCGAAACTGGTTATGGAAATGTCACCAAAGAACTATGGGTCTTCCATATCCCAAGCCTGTCGTGGACAATGAAAACTCCCACAGTTTTGGCTCACGGACCTCAATATGACGTGGAAGGACATTCTGCACACATCGTTGAAATGGACAGTGGAGACGTAATCATGATCATCATATTCGGATATTCTGCATTCTACGGTTATATCAACAGTGTTCAGGAGTACAATATAAGTAAGTGGTTTGTACTTTTTCCTTCCCGACCCCAAGTGTTCAAATCCTTTCATAGGTTCAGATTTGTGAGTTTTGAAACAACTACTTACACAGCATTTATGCAGTGTCTTTCACATGGAGCAGCATCTCAGAGCTCTTAACGCCTAATGCGAAGCCTGACACTAAGCCGGGGGGGAGGGAGGGGGTGACCGTGAGCACGGTCAAAGACAAAAGTTTTCCAAAGAGGATCAGTCGTGATCTAAAAGAGGGGAAGGAAGGGGGCAATGCTGAGGGATTGAGGGAGGGAGTTCCAAAGTTTCGAGAAAAACACGCTCATGAAATTTTTCTTTTATTTATTTAAAAAGATGGCTTTAAAAATCAACTTAATGCTTTAGGATTAAGTGGAAAGCTATCCTGTGTGAAGAGCGCTAAGCAAATGCTACTTGGTCGTGGTGGTGGTGTTGTGTTCACATTGTTGCCTTCCATTTACTGTATTTAAAATGTTTTTCAAATCTAACCTACACTTTTTTTAAAAAAAGCAGTTTTTGGGGGAAGTGCTTTTATCCATTCAGTTTTGCTGATTTGTAGGGGACTCCTTTTCGTTTTTAATTCTTCCGTGAAGCGCAGAAACAAGACCTCTCCAATTTTAGTAAGGAGTGAAACAAAATATTGTTGACATTTGGTAATGGAAAGCCTTTGTTTGCATCGATTTTCTTCCAGCTTAGGCTTTTCTAGTCTAATTGAGTGGCATCTATTTTGGGGTTGGGGAGAAAACCCAATTGGTGTTCAGAGACATATTTATTTTGTTCAACAAGTTTGCTTCAGATTTGTGTGTTTTTTCCACAAAACATAACTACAGGGATGTTGAATAAAATAGGAAAATGTCTGTTTTTCTCTGTTCTGAACTTCAACGAAAGGTTATCGAAGAACAAAACCCCTGTTCCAAACTCATGATGTGGGTAAAACAATAAACTCAAGGCTTTGATAGTCATTACACAAAGTGCCTTGATTTTCAAGGTCTGCACTTCTGCCTGCACTGTTCGCTTGCTTCGGTTTTCCCCGCAATTGATATTTTCACTGATCTGTGAAGGTGTGTACATATGCACCTAATTAGCTTGCCAGTTGAAGTGCTGTTCCTAATATCTCCAGGGAGCTTAGCAATTCATGAGCTGCAGGCTTAAATCATAGAATAATGGGGCACTATTTGGAAGTGAATGTGGAGGACCGCATGTTATTTTTATCGATCACACTGTGAAAACATTCAGCCCATTGAGCCTCTTCCACTGGTTTATTTGATTTTGCCTGATCTTTTAATTCCAATGCCCTACCCATTTGCCATGTCCCTTTGTACCTCTGAATACCCAAGTATCTGGCTATTGAGTTTTTAAATGTCCAACCATGTGTAGGTGGGATGTATAGAAATCCCAACTTGATTTGGAGACTCTTAAGGACGGTGATGGGTTTCTACATTTGTCAGACACTCGGCTGGGCAAAAAAATAAATGTTTTCATAATGACTTACCCGTTTGTGCTTTAAGTCATCAGAAAGGTTATATAACTAGCAACAGTGCTGACAATCACACACATGCTTTATGCTCTTAGAACATGGGTACAAGTTGTCAAATGTCCAGCCAGCTGGTGTCTCCAAAGTATGTATTGGGGTGTTGCTGGATCAGCTAATGAACCAGCTAATCATGCACATCTTCTCAGCACAAGGCACTGGTAAGCTTTCCACTGCTTAGCCAGCTTGGATTACCATTTTCGTTCGATGTTAACTTCTGAGTTGAGTGACAAGAATACCCCAGAAGAATATGTTAGCCCACGGGAAATACACGGTAACTTACACATTGCAGTATTTCCTGATGTGAAAGGCACCCTAAGGATTATTATTAGTTTTAATACAATTTCTTCAGTCCCATTGACAGCGAAGGCATACAAACTGGTCAGAATCTGAGCTGCAGTGATGCATTGCTTTTGTTTCAGTACACTTTACAGGTAGTTCCTCAAAGGCTCAGTTGATAAAGCCACTGCCCTGTGTGAAACAGAACCAAATAGACCTGAAAGATTACTCTATTTCTAGTCAGCCATCAATTCTTTTACGTCAGCTGATGCTGCTGTAAGGTCATTGCAATTAGCCTGGGTGGATATCGTGGTGAGGAAAATCAGCCACAATTCCTTCTCCTGATTGATATCTAGTGAGCCCTGCAAGAAAGTGTTGTGTGCAAGAACATTGGACAAGATTGGACACCGCTGTGATGCTTCCACAGCCAAAATAGCCCGCTGAGGCTCTCTGTCAAAGCTGGTGGTTACAGAATGGTTGAGATGCTGGAGGTGCCTAATACTTACGGAACCTATCCGACTAAAATCACTGCCTTCAGGAAAGAAGTGTGGGGAACATAGCACCTGCAGGGAATAGCATCCCCTATATATTATATATATTACACGCTACATGAAGGGCGCTCTATAAATGCAAGTTGTTGTGGTTGTGAGACTTTGACACCGCTGAGGGTATCAAAACAGAATGCCTTACCTCTTGTGTTTAGCTTCTATTACATTCATTCACTTCACATCAAGATTAATAGGAGCGAAATCTATCTTAGAGGAGGTTAGTTTTCATTTGGTGCCCATGAAGCATGCTACTCTTTAGTGGATATCCCGTATCAACCTGCCTGCTCCCTCCTCTCAGCGGGCTCTGACCTGCTGCAGATCCCCTGCCCCCACCATCGGCGATCTGGCCTTCAGCCTCTCTGCCTCCACCCTTTGGAACTCCATCTTACATTCCCTTCGCCTTGCCCCTTCCTTTCAGACTCCTTTGCCTCCTTCAAGACACGTCTCAAGATCCTCCTCTTTGAGCGTGCCTTTGGTCACCGTCCTACCCTCCCTGTCCTTCACGCTCCCTTAACCCAATCCCCCCTGCCCCCACCCGCTTGGGACTAAATCCCTGACTGTCGAGCGCCTTGAGATGTCCTCCTGACGTGAAAGTCACCATACAAATGTAATTTTGTATTGTCTGCTTGGTGGACACCGAATGAAAGCTAGCATCTGCAAACTGATATAATTTGCAGATGCTAGCGGCAAAATAACTGATCTAATTTCTTTATATGTAAAACTGTTGTCTCCAGGATTGGTTACTGTGGTTTGAGCAAAGCTATTGGGTTCCAGTGCTGATGGAAAATGAGCTTTCTTTCCCAATGAATTGTGAAGTGGAGAGAAAGAAGCGAAATCAAAACATTTTTTAGGAGAATTTTAGCATGCAAATTCTGTTTTAAATTCAAAATTAGTTATGCATTCATTAAAGGCTGTTGAGGTGGTGTAAATGAGTTGATAGAACAAATGTAGCAGGTCACTGGGCGTGGGAAGAACAATTAATCTTGTACAAATTGGACTAATCCTCGAGAGCGAAGGGAGTATCTGTTGGAATCAGTGACTTATTTTCTGTAATGTATTTAACTGAAGAATAGTAAAATTGTTAATCAGGGCTGCACCAAAGAACTTTTTTTTGTTCACTTAAGCTCACTGGAGAAATGCCTTGAATCAGAGAGTACAACCTTGCAGGGAAATGTAATGACAACCAAAGTTCACCATCATAATATAATTAAATGAGCTGAAGGTCTATGATTGCTAAATTGAAATGTGTCCTCAGACATGGTCAAATATTTATCTTTAATTGAATGTACACACTTGGGATCTCTGTTGTGTAGAATTTATTTAAAAACCGAGCTAATTTTATAATCCAATTAATAAGCAAGTTTTGAGCAAAAAGTGGGATGAGTTTGTGTTCCTCGAGTAAATTGGATGGATTAGCAACGGTTTGGTTTGCAATCTGTTTTGACTTTGAACTTGATATCTTCTCTCTCCCTTCTTTTGATGAGATCCTCGTGCACCACTCGTCTTTTAAGCGCTTTGAGACTCTACCCTGCGTGGAGGGCACTCTATAAGTGCGAGCTTCTTGTTGTTGTCGTTGTCTTGAGTTCATATTATAACAACAACTTGTACAACTTACACAGCGCCCATCACACAGGGTAGCGTCCCATTGCGCTTCACAGTGGCGGAGCCTGACAGAGAGCCAGGGGGGTAGGTGACAGTAAGCACGATACATTGCATTACAGCGTTGGCGTTCATTATAGGAAGGGGGAAAAGAAAGGGGGGTGTAGGGTGGGGGGAGAGAAAGGGAGTGCTTCATTATCAGTGAAGGGGTTTGGAAAAAAAATGCTATACCAAGGGCTGAAATTACTTCTTCCCGTTCAGTGGACCTTAGGGGACCCGGGAGACTATTTGCAAGTGACAGGAGTTTCACCTGGTGTCCTGCTTAACAATCTTTCAAGTTAACTCTCAATTTGTTATTGAATAGTGTCGTGCAATTTATCACCATTAAAGCCATCGCATTATACGGTATTTTCTCAGAAGGTGTTGGCAGAATGGGGTCAGGACACGAGTCGGTTCATACATTTCTATATAAATGTATTGAATTGCAAACCGAATGAGTGCCAGCCTTAATTTTATACTACATGATTTTCAACCTCCTGTCAACTTTAAACCATTTTATTTATAAGACAGGCAGACAGACAGATCCACCAGCACGAGGATTAAAGCAGCTAAGAAGTAAAGTGTGAGCGTGTGGGTGGAAGGGGGGTAGAGAGAGAGAGAGAGAGAGAGAGGGTAAAATGGCATTTCCTCTCTGTATCTTTTGGAGGCAGGTTAATGTTGAAAATGCTAGCGTTCCTCATGCGGTTGCCGCAAAGAAAGGAAAGATCCTCTGTCCCCCAACGCAATGAATCATTTGCTGGCCAGCTTTTTGCCTTTGAGGCAAGCAGGAAATGACACTCAGACCTACGGCTTTTTCTGGAGTAGCCTTCTTGCATTTGTACACAGTTATCACCACTGACAGCAGCAACAACTTGCATGTACATAGCGCCCGTCGCGCGAGGTAGCGTCCCGGGTACACTTTATCCCATCGGAGTACAATTGAAAAGATTCCCTGTACTCTGCATTTCGTCACCTCTCAGGCAAATGGAGCTGCTTTGCAGTTTAAAAAAAAACTAGAGTGCTTATTAAGATTAATAAAGATAATAACCTGCCATCCTCAAACGATGAATAATCAGAAACTTTACTTCAGTTCCTTTATTTATCCCCAAAGATGTCGAAGACTAGGTGATGGGTAAGGCTTAGTCCAAACAGAAGACAAATGCAACAATTATTATTATTATTCCTAATAAACTGAGATAGAGAATTTCCGAATGCCCCACACAGTAATTGTGTGCATCTGGTGAAGGGTGTTGTATCAATGCAACTTGTTGTTGTTCATTTCCACAGCTATGTATGGATGTTATTCAGCAACATTTTCTCATGCATAGAAGGGAAAAATTCACCATAAATCTTAAGAATCTTTACCAAATGTCTATGGACGCATTTTTGCCACCTTCAGTTCTCTTTAGTAACCACCACTTGCGATAGGCATATTGGTTTACAGCTGACCCACGTAAATCCTGATAGGACTTGAAGTTTATAGGAACTGATTTCAAACATAACTCATGCATTTTATCTCATAGCTGATCTCATGTGCTTGATCCAGCTGATGTACTGATCCAGTTGTCATCGAGCTTCTCAAAGGATCCCAATGATGCTTCAAAAGGGCAATGAGCTTAATATAATACAATTTGTGAAAGTTGTTCCGTTTCCCTTACTTGGGACTTTTTTTATACAGGGTTTTTGGCGAATTCTTGGAAGTTTCTTTACATAATTAATTCTTACAGGTTTGAAGCGGATTTTTTTCTCTGCAGAGAATTATTCAAGAATTCTGTTTGATGGCTTTGAGCTACATTTTAATTCTTTGACTTTGAGATGTTGAATTCTATTATTGTGATTTAAGCATTGCTTGGATTTTAGAATGACAGTTGCCATGAAGCCACACATGCATATATCAATTGAATTTCTGATTTACAATGACCTTATAAAAATCTTGCTTAAAAAAAAGAAAAAAGCAATAAGATTTTTTTTAAGATTATGGCAGCGAAATAGTTTAAGTTGTAAGAATTATGTGCACAAAGTGCTTTGTTTTCAAATGTTTTCACCCTAATTTAAAATGAACTTGGCCATCTTTTTATTTGTAAAGAACAGGGGGATTCAAGAAAATTATTAACTAATGTAAACAATAATATCTGCACTTATCAGAAGCTGATAAATAACGCTGTACATTTAGTGGAAATGGTAGACTAGACTGGTATATCTAGTTTGTAAATGGTCATGAATATCCTGGAGTTAAGCGTATTAGGCATGTTACTAGGCATGTGATCAATATTACACTCAAAACTGTTAAGTTTATTCCAGGATTAAGTCTTAAAAAATTCCTAGCATGGATTACAGTTTGTTTATGTTCAGGGTTTGGAAAGTATTTGTTTGTGGCTGGCAAACCTTTCATGAAATACAGTTTGCATCTCTTGGAATGGATTGTAAACTATTTTATTTCCTTCATCCAGAGACCAATTCATGGTTGGTTCCAGAGACCAAAGGGGCGATGGTACAGGGTGGATATGGCCACAGCAGCATCTACGATACCATGACCAAATCTATTTACGTGCACGGAGGATACAAAGTGTTTACAAGCAATAAGTACGGCTTGGTGGACGATCTGTACAAATACACAGTGAATACACGTACCTGGTAAGTGGAACAGTCGTGCATCTGTTCAAATGGTTTAGTTGTGGCAGCGTCTTCTGTAATTGCTTTTAAATAATAATAATAATCCTTGCATTTTATATAGCACTTTTCAAGTCTTCTCGACGTCTCTAAGCACTTCACAGAATAGACTGTAAAGTGAATTCACTGTACATTTGTGGACGAAATGCAGCAGCCAATTGCGCACAGCAGTGTCCACACAAACAGTCGTGGATTGAAGTGACCAATTTATTATTGTTTTTTTTTTTCCTTGAGGGATTATTATCAGGCGTGCAGAGTAAGGAACTTGCCCAAGGTTTTGCCCTGCCGGGAATTGAACCCAGGTCTCTCACTTGCGAGTCGAGTGCTCTAAACACTGAGCTACATGTACACTTAATCCTGTAAAGTACCCAAGCTTCCTTTCTGACCACACAGTGACATTGATCTCCTCTTCAGCATGCACAGGATTCAGGGCTTCTTTTTCATTTTTAGCAGAGGAAAGATATTTCATTTGCTTATTGATGATACTGATTGCAACATTGGGAAATGAAACAAAGGATTTTCCATTTTTCACAGCCAAGGTTAGCATCAATCAGCCCTAAAGTCAGTTAGCCCAAGCTCCGAGCGTATCTTGTCTCCTACCCTTACCCAGGTCAGTCTGACAGATAACTTCCTTCCCCAAAGTGTCAAAGAAAAAAATCCCCGACCAATTAATTCAATCATTTGTTGCAATTCTGTTTAATTCAACACTAACTCTTGTAAGAACTTTTAAGTCTCAAATTTGTGTGCACTGCACAAAACCTACATTTAACCTCCCAATGATTTTACACAGAAAAATGGCAATACATTTTCTGCACTGCATATCAGCAAATTTAACTCATGTACGCCTTTTACTCCTTACTTACCTTGGTTCCCAGCCACAGCTAAGGTGTCAAGCCAGTACTATTAAGTGCCTTGAGACGTCCTTCTGATGTGAGAGACATATTAATGTCATTTTGTATTGTGTTGGGTAGTTAGTTATAAATATTAGGCTCATCAACCCCACAGCATTGTTTAGAATTGGCAATTCAGTTGGATAAGGAAGAGTTACCCAAATTCCTGTTGGGTGAAGCTATCCCCCTTCTCTGTATACCTTTGATTTGAACTGAAATAATCAAGTAGTTGCCTATCTTATTTTAAACAGAAATGATGAAGCTTTAACGTAGATCTTATTAGACGTGAAGAACCCAATTGTTTTTCAGTTCCTTGCGCTTTTACTTTAGGGCAAAGTAAAGAGACTTAAACACGGCTTAATATGGGTTACTGAACAGATTTAGACTTCTTTTAAAACATACGTACAATTAGGACATGACATGTCAAGCGACTGCCACGATGGTAGAAGACGAACTAGATAGTCATTTGTCATGTTTTACCTAGAAAATTCTTATGTTCTTATGCACTCCCTTGCATTTTTGTCCTTGCTCCTGTAGATTATTTTTGTTCAGTGTTTCTCCAACTTTATTTTTTTAACAAGACCCACCCCAAAAATAATGAGATAATTTTTATTCCAGCAGCCCTGCCAAAATGTACTGAATCCTTTAGTTTTCACTCAAATTTTATTTACCAATTTTGAACAAGGATTGTAACATTTAACAATGGTGTTTCGATCATAACAGATTCAATTTTCAATCAAATTTGTGCATATTGCGCACGTTTTCCACACTCCATCAGTTTTGTTTGTTAAACCACCAGCTTTCAACCAATTTTTTTTTCTACCTTTTTGAAATAAGCCCCACGGCATCGCCTGCAATATGACTTAGAGAGGAAAAAATAATTAGTTCCAACTATGCATGTCTCATGTACGTGAACTAATTAGTTTTACAGGTTAATAATATACCCCAAATTCAAGTGCATTGTTCTCAGTGCCCTTTGAATTAACAAATACAATTAAAGTGTTTTTTTTTACAAAACGGGCAACAAGCGATTTATATTTCCGATACAAATGTTGGGGGAGGGGGGAAAACTCCAGCCTCTTTTGCAAACCTCCCACCCAACCAAAAAGAATCCTTTTGCGCCTGCCTCCGCTCTACTGGCTCCGGCCTCCTCTTTGTTCCTATACAAATGCAAGTTGTTATTATTGTTATGTTGAAAAATCTCAGATCGCTTCACTGGATTTTACTTCATAAGTGCAGGCAATCAATTTGCATACAACCATGAACTTCATGACCAATTTTATCTGGGGAATTGTTTGCCAAGGTGCTGGTAAAACACTTTTCTCTTTTTGAATGGGATGATGTCTTTAACATCCACCTGAACAAGCAGATGGGACCTGGGTTTAACATCTCATTCAAAGGATGGTGTCTCCAATAATGCAGTGCTCCCTCAGCTATGCATTGGAGTGTCAGCCAGAAACAACTGCTCTTTGTTGTGACCTGGACTGGGTTCAAATTTATTATATTTAAAACTAAATCATAGACTAAAGTCAAAAGAGCCCACAATCCAAGAGCTGGAGGTGGGTACGTTATGTAAATTAAAATAATATTGTTTGTTTTGCAAAGGGATTCATCTGCCAAGTGGCTCCATTAGTGAAAACTTTCTATTCCTTGGTGTTTAATGGAATTTTTAAAAAAAACACAAAAAAAATCTCTTTGATGTTTTGTTTTGCAAATTGTCCCTGTGGGGACTTGTGAGCATAAGTGATGCTCTTTCTACTCGTGTTTCATTTGAACTTAATCTTACTGAACTCATTGGCTCATCATATTAACAATGCAGCATTTCCCAAGAGTATCAGCTATAATGGTGAGGAAGTGACATTTTCCATTGGAGAAATCACATTTGCACGCTTGCAGGACTCTTAACAGATAATTTACCACATCCTTTGTTTAGTTTAATTGCATGTTTCAATTCCCTCCCCCTCCTCCCTCACCCCACACACTTTACTCCCTTCCCAAAGGCAATGACCCTCTTATTGGAGTAGGGTTCCATAGACCCTCCAGTATTTCCCCCTACTCCTCCCCTACCGTCGCCCTCGAGGTGCCCAGACAGATTGAGGCATTTCTACTTCTGAAACCAGCTAACAGTACATCAGGAATCAATGGTGACCTACACCAATAACAACTTGCATTTATATAGCGCCCCTCATCAGGGCAGAGTCCCAGAGCACTTGTCAGTGGCGGAGCATAACACTGAGCTGGGGGGAGGGGGTGTGACCATAATCACAGGCATAGAGGAAGGTCTTCAGGCATGACCTGAAGATGGGGAAGGAAGGGACAAGGCGGAGGGATAGAGGAAGAGTGTTCCAGAGTTTCTGGGCATAGTGGCTGAAAGCACGGCCACCAATGGTGGAACGGAGGGTACGAGGGACATGGAGAAGGCCGGAGCCAGTCGAGCGCAGGCAGCAGGTTGTGGGTTGGGCGGTAAGCAGGTCTGAGAGGTAGGGAGGTGCCAGGGCATGAAGGGGTTTGAAAACAAGTGTGTGGATCTTGAAATCGATCAGTTTAGGCGATAGGGAGCCAGTGGAGCCCCGGCCAGAACTGGTGTGATGGGGAGATGGAGTTTAGTGCGGGTGAGTATGTGACCGATGTGGATTAGTGCTACATTGGGTTGTGCCTCCACCCTTTGGGTCAGTCGAAATCCCGTTTACTTGCACTTTCTGAACACCATTTTGAGCATCTTGAATTGTAGTTTAACCCTGAGGCTGATGCATTTCAGATTCAACTCCGTTTGATGTTCTCCATTTTATTAATATGGCAGGCAACAGTAAGCATCCAATCAATGCACATTGTAAGTGGAAGAGAATTAATTTAGCCCTGTCTAATTCCTTGCATTTGAAACATCTGCAAGGAAAACTCATTAGTGAAGCCACATTTGTAACACAGTTTTGCCACTTCCCAAACAATATTACCCCAGTGATGGCTGGAAAAAAAAGCGGTGAGCACAATTGCAGAATAATAAAAGATAACTCTTTTTTATGAGATATAGATGATCTACTTTACATCTTTAAAATCAGAAAGCCACAGATACTAATGTTGATGGTGATTTGATTATAAACGTAACGCAAGAGGAGCCAAAAACCAAATTGTAGCCTTGATTGAACCTTGCTAGATTAGAGCAGTCGACATGCGATCGACCCACCAGGAACAATGCGCCAATCAATTCTTGCAAACAATGATCAAATTCTGTACTCTCTGTGGAACGCTGTTTGAGTCCGGTCCAAAATGGAACTATGGGGAGGGGGTAGACATATGCGAAATATAACTGGAAAAGGAAATATGAAGTGTGTGATGTCAGTTGATACCTCTGTGAATTTCTGGCTAATTGGAGGCAGGAATCATGGGAGGCAAGTGAGAAGTTTCACAGATTTTTCTCATTTTGCAAGTTTTTCTCAAAGTAATTATTCACGTCCGTCGAGAGATTAAGTCAGTTGGGAGCGCTGGCATCTCTGCAAATTGAACGTACAGTATTTACAATATTTCTCATTTGGTTCTTATCCGTTGATCTTTTTATATTTTTATAAAAGGATTTGCAGACTAGAAATTCCAGATCACCCCAAGACTTTCAACTGTCTCCAACCAAAATGGAACTGGAATATAAATTGCATTTCAGTGGTCTCCCTCACAAACGTTGCTGTTTAAAATGTTAATTACATCCAGAATATATTTACAGCTGTTATTTGATCAAGAATTATAAATCATGAGGGGTTATGAAGAAAGCCTTTCAGTTTCTTTCCGTCTCATACTTGTTGAATTCTAATTCTACTGTGTTTCCCCATGACAGTGTTTATTGTTTATTCCCTGTTTATTCACAAGATCAGGTCAGATGAAGAAAGCCCTTCAGTCCATTTGATCTCATCCTTTTCAGAAAACTCACCTATATGTTTTCCATTGCATGAATGGAACCCATCAGTTTCACTAGTCTGATCCATCTGGATAATAATCATCTTGAAAGCCTCTTGGCTTCGTTATCCTAGTTTATTTTGATATCTGAACACTTCACTTGAACTCAAGCTTAATAATTCATTCTGCATGCATCTCATTCTCTTCAAGCCAGGTCTGGCTGTTTGATGTTAGTAAATGTGATGAGCATTCATCAGCAGCATTTCAGCTGAGAGCAAGTTGCGAGTGTCAAAGTGTGTGTGTTCTGGTGTGATGGGGGTCCTTTAACTTAATTTCACTTTTGCACTGTTAGAAAGGCAGTAAAAATACTTGATATGGATAATGGTGGAGTCCGGTAGCTCAGTGGTTAGAGCACTCACCTCGCAAGCGAGAGGACCTGGATTTGATTCCCAGCAGGGCAAAAAGTTGGGCAAGTTTCCTTACTCCATACGCCTCTGCTTACCTAGCAATAAGTAGGTACCCGGTTGTTCGGCGATTGGCGGATTGCTTTTCTGGGGGTAATAATCCCTTCCAAAAAGAATAATAATAACTTGGTCACTTCAACCCACGACTGTTTATGGGACGCTCTTGTGCGCAATTGGCTGCCGCGTTTCGCCCACAGAATATACAGTCAATTTACTTTACAGGATAATCTGTGAAGCGCATTGAGACGTCTCAAAGACGTGATGAGGCGCGATATCAATTGCAAGGATTGCTAATGTCTTTCTGTTTCGATTTTCAGTGCATGTTAAATTTTCAAATACTGCTAGTTCTGCTGCTTACAGGGTTGACCTTTATTTTTCCCCTCATAGCTATTTTGAGTTCAGGACCTATATGAAGTAACATTTTCCTCAATCAATTGAAGATTTGCCTTGGGCGCAGTATACCTGCACTTTCCACTGATTGTCAATGTTAGAAATGTACCTTTTGATTTGGGTACGGAGTCTTTATTTTAAATGCCACTACCTTGTAGTTGGCATTGTTGATACAAACATTGAGTTTTAATTGAATGTTGAGGAAGACACAGATACATGCCCCAGCCTTCCCCCACTGCAATGATGCAATGTACCTTTCCAAAGATCCTAACTGGGCTTTTGCGAACATGGACTGTGTTCGTAGTTTTAGGATCGCGATTAGGTAGAAGATTATGGGTTCAAGACCCACAGCAGAATGGAACCCATATAGTAGTAATAATAATACTCTTTGCATTTGACATAATGCGTAATTACGTCTTTGAGACGTCTCAAAGCTCTTCACAGGATATACAGTAAAGTGAATTGATTGTATATTTTGTGGGCAAAACGTGACAGCCGATTGCACACAGTAGCGTCGCACAAACAGTCATGGATTGAGTGACCAGTTTATTATTTTTTTAAGGGATTATTACCCCCGGAAAAGCGATCCGCCAATCGATTAACAACCGGGTTCTTACTTACTGCTGGGTAAACAGTGGCATGTGGAGTAAGGAAACCTGTCCAATGCCCTGCTGAGAATCAAACCCAGATCTCTCACTTGCGAGGCGAGTGCTCTAACCACTGAGTTATAGGACTCACGCACGAGGCATTCCGCATGCATAAAATTATCCCTCTCTTCGCAAGTTGACCTTCCCTGGCATTGGCGGAGGTGCTGTCCTTTGGATGAGAGGTTAAACCGAGGTCCCGTTTGTCTCTCTTGGAGTTAAAGATCCCATGGCACTATTTGAAAAGACAAAAGGAGTTTTTTCCAGTGTTCTGGCCAACAATCCTCCAAATAAAATTGGTCACTCGCTCCATGGCTGTTTGCGGGGACGTTGCTATGTGCAATTTGGCTGCTGCGTTCGCCCACAAAGTACACACAGTTACTTTCCAGTAAATCCTGTGAAGCGCTTTGAGATGTTTCAACCATATGATGAGGTGTGATGTCAAATGCGAGGATTATTATTATTATTTTTATTATTGCTTGTTTTCCTGCAACACTGCAAAGGTATTTCTGTGTGTCCGACTCTCAAACGTAACACTATCTTGACACGCCATAAGCTTAAAACTGTACACTGGCGTTCAAGTACACTGCCCGAGGGGCGCTTTATAAATGCAAGTTGTTGTTGAGCTTGCCACAACTCTCGGTCCAGTTCTTGCCAGAACTACACTCGTATTTCGCGGGTTTGGGGTAGGAGGGAGGGGGCAGGGGAAAATGAAAATGTCAAATTAGGGGATTGTGTTGATGATCTACATTTGACGCATCAGCATCTTGTGTAAAGATATCGCCCTCGGAAATAATCATTTGCACAAGACTGTAAGTGTCACTTTCCCTCCAGGTTCGCTCTCTCACTTCAGTATTAATCAGCTTCTCAGTTTCACTTTCAGCAGCTGCCAGACCAGCTCGCACCAGATGTCTCTTTTCATTAAATGACGAGACAAATTACATCGCATTAATCTGTGGAGTTAGCCAGTTTTGCTTTATTTGTGTGTTTTCATGTGGTAAGAGGCAAAATACTGCAGATGCTGGAAATCTGAAATACAAACAGAAGTCGCTGGGAACACGCAGCAGGTCAGGCAGCATCTATGGAGAGAGGCAAATGAGTTAACGTTTCAGGTCCAATGCCTTTCATCGAGAGTTCTGATGTAAGGTCATCGGCTTGAAACTAACTCATTTTCCTCTCTCCATAGACGCGGTAATGTAATATTGTCGGATTATAAAGCCATAGCAAATTATATTTTTACTGATTTTAAGAGGCGGATTTAAAAGAAAAGTCTTTTTTTTTAAAAAAAAGGCATTTATTGCATTAAAATTGTTGTTTTTCCCGAGTTTGAAATGTACCTTTAAGGCTTTTTGTTCTATTGTTGTACCTTTTAAGTGTGATATACGACACGTCTAGTTACTAACCCAAATTCTTGGAGAGCAGGCACTTTGAATTAATTCATTGATGAAGTTCTGAATCAAAATGCATCACCAGCACACTTCACCCAACAGTACTTTGGTTCTAAGGTTTCTAGTCATTTTCTGGATTACTTGTTTTTCAAATTGACTGCTTGTGTGTTGACATTACAAACGAGAAAAAAATGCTAAAGCTACAGTTTTTTTTGGTAATGATATTTTAAGTCAATTTAATAGTCATTTAGTAAATTCAGCCTGACACTGTTTTCCTTATTAATACGATAATAATACTTTTAATAATGATAATAATCTATCTGGTTTTAGGCATTCAGGTTGAATTCTGTTCAGAATTATTCTGAAATTGTCTTTGTTTGACATGTGATAATTTGTTTGTTTTGGGGTCATTGCTGTGTACAAATTGGCAGCACTTTTATCTAAAAATACGACCACTGCACTTTACTAGTACATTCTGTGAAAATGCTTTGAGACGCCCTCCCAATGTGAAATGAACTAGTATCAAATCAAAAGACGTCAAGATTGGTTCGGGTGAAGAAGGCCCTATGGCTCACAGTGATCTCTTCCTTTCAGAACACCCACCCTACCATTACCCACCCCTCTCACTTCATTGAGCTGTTTTTCTTTAAATGAGTCGAATCCTGCCCTCGGCCACCATCCCTGGCAATTTGTTTCCAGTCATTGATTCCCCTCTGAATGCAAAAAAACTCACTGGTGTCTGTTCTGAAATAGCAGCAAAAAATATTATTTGATCAAGGCACATGTGGAAACTTCGAGAGAAGATCCCATCGAAAATTTTGAAAACAAACCTATAACATTGCCTTGTTATAATTTCCACTTTCACCAGTGTGAGAGAGATTATGCCCTTATTTGATGATTGAATAGCACCTTTCAATTAGGGCTGCTCTCTTTAGCAGTCTCGCAGGGAGGGCAAATTTGCCTTTTAACTTTGTGCTTGTATTTTCAATTGATTTGATCAGAGATTGTAAAGACATTCATTCTCCTGAAGAAAACGATCTGATTGTTGATTCTTACGTCAGGAATTTGTTTAATCTGTTCCTTCCGTTCCTTCTCAAAGCTAAAATGGAAATTGTGTTTATAATTTATATGTTGATTACATGTATGTTCTGAGTTAAGTATATAAAGGGCACATTTATTGCTACAAGACGCAAAGCCGAGTAATGGATTTTCTGTTTTCTGTTTGTACGAAACGTGTCTTACCTTTCTTTTTCTTTCACATTACAGGACAATCCTTAAAGAGAGTGGACTGGCACGCTATCTACATTCAGCTGTCATCGTCAGTGGGGTGATGCTTGTTTTTGGTGGAAACACACACAATGACACATCTCTGAGTAACGGAGCCAAGTGTTTCTCTGCAGATTTCCTAGCTTACGACATTGGTAAGTACATCTTAGCACTTTGGAGTAATCAAACGACAGAGCTCTGACTAATTGTTTCTAACCTTGGCTCGAAATGCTGAGATCATTATTTGAGCATTCCCACTCTCAGCCTGCTTCATGCCCTCAGTTTCAGGTTCAATGACGTTACGAGCTAACCTCTTGGGGGAGAATGTGCTTGTGTTGATTTCTGTCCTAATACTGTCCAGCTATGAAATGTTTTGTCTTATGCTACCTACGTTAGAGAAACAGTCCAACACAAGTTTTCTGAAGAATACCTAAAATTAACATCCACCATAGGTTGGGTACACACTGTGGTCACATTGGCTGGAATGGAGGAGGTTTAAGTTGATTTGATTGAGGCATTTAACAAAACGAAAGGCATTTGGCAGCGATAAAAGATAGTTGGATATCTCTTTCCTCTGGTATAGGGATTTCTCGCATCGGGACATTGCCATGAAATCGTAGCTAAGATGGTTAAAACAGACATTGGGAATCATTTCTTTACACAGAGGGTTGTGAAAGCATGCAATCCTCTTCCCGAGAAAACTGTAGAGATGGAATCAATAGGATGTTCAAAGGAGAAATAGGTCCTTGATTAGCAGAAGTATTGAGGGTATGGGGAAAGAGCAGGGATATTAGGAGTAAAAGATCTCAAACTGTTGGATTGGGCTCAGTGGTCTGAATGGTTTCCTCCTGTACCCATTTTCTGGACTGAAACTTTGCGCGACCATGAAAAATTGCTGTTCTTTGCAGAATTGTAAACAACAACAATATTACATTTGTGTAGCGCCTTTCACTTCGGGAGGACGTTCCAAGGCACTGGACAGAGTACAGAATTTCAGACCCAAGCTGGAGTCGGGGTGGGGTGGCCGATGGCACGGTCGAAGAGGAGGGACTTGAGGCGGGACTTGAAGGTGGCTAAGGAGGGGGCGAGGCGGAGTGACTGGGAGATGGAGGTTGGGGCCAGAGTGGCTGAAGGCTCTCCCACCAATGGTGTGGCGGGTGGGTCGGGGGGGTTGGGGGATGTGAGCAGGCCAGAGCCGGCTGAGCGGAGGGAATGGGCGGGTTGGTAGGGGATTAGGAGGTCACAGAGGTAGGGTGGGGTGAGGCCATGGAGGGCTTTGTATGTGAGGACCAGGATCTTGAACTGGATCCTCTGAAGGATAGGGAGCCAGTGGAGTCAGGCGAGAGTAGGGGAGATGGGGTCACGTAATTTGGTGCAGGAGAGGACACAGGCTGCAGACATCTGGATTATCTACAGTCTGTGGAGGGAGGAGTTGGGAAGGCGGACAAGCAAGGAGTCTGCATAGTCGAGCCTGGAGGTGATGAAGGCATGAACAAGAGTTTCAGTGGCCTGAGGGGTGAGGTAGTGGCGGAGTCGGGGGCTGTTATGGAGGTGAGGGAAGGCAGAGCGGGTCATGGCTTGAATGTGGGGGAGAAAAGACAGTTGAGGGTCGAACAAGACACCCAGGGTCCTGACTTGCTGGTGAGTTCTCATGCAAGTGAGTATCAAAACAACAGGATCAAACACATGAATGCATGGCTGGAGAAATGGTGCAGAAAGTCGGGCTTCAGGTTCCTGGATCATTGGGACCAGTTCTGGGGCAGGTGGGACCTGTACAAGGTGGATGGGTTACACCTGAACAGGGCTGGGACCAATCTCCTCGCAGGGAGGTTAACTAGTGCTGTGGGGAAGGCTTTAAACTAATTTTGAGGGGGGAAGGGAATCAGGATGTAGAATCAGAGAGGACAAACAAGTTACATAGAGGGGCTGGGAGAGACGAATAGCAATGTAATAAGGAGTAATCCAGAAAAAGGAGGAATTGGACAGGAGAGGAATGCAGAACAGCCTCAGTCGGTCTTGGAGTGCATGTGTATAAATGCACGGAGTGTGACAAATAAGATTGGTGAGAGCTGTAGCTCAACTTGCCACATGGGGTTATGATGTTGTGGCAATAATGGAGACCTGGCTCAAACAAGGGCAGAAATGGGAGCTATTCAGGAGGGATAGAGAAGGGAAAAAAAGGAGAGGAGATATTGATTAAAGACACGGTTATGGCCCTGGGAAGGGACAATTAGTTAGAGGGTAGAAAAACAGAATTTATTGGGTTAGAATTAAGGAGCAGAAAAGGAGTGTTTACTCTGTTAGGTGTATACTATAGACCACCAAATAGTGGGAAGAAGATAGATGAGAAAATCTGCAAGCAGACTTCAGAAAGGTACAAAACCAATAGAGTAGTGATAATGGGGGACTTCAATTACCCTTACATAGACTGGCAAAATAACAGTGTAAAGGCCAAGGACGGGGAAGGATTCCTGAAATGTATGCAGGATAACTTTCTAGATCAGTATGTTTCCAGCCCAATGAGGAAAGAAACAGTGCTGGATCTAGTTTCGGGGAAATGAAGTGGGGCAAGGTTTCAGTAGGAGAACATCTGGACAACGTCATTAGGTTTAGAGTCCATGTGGAAAGGGACAAGGAGCAATCAAAGGGGAAGATATTCAACTGGAAGAGGGATAATTTCAATGAGTTAAAAAGGGACCGGGTCAAGGTGGACTAGAAAGAAAGCTTGTCAGGTAAAACAGCTAACGGGCAATGGGAAGCCTTCAAGGATGAGATAGTTCTGATGTAAGCTGATGGTACAATCTTAAAGGGGTGAAGAAACAGAGACCATGCGGGGGTTCATATAAGTAAATCTTTGAAGGTGGCAGGACAGGTAGATAAAGCTGTTAAAAAAAGCTTACGGGATACTAGGCTTTATAAATAGGGGCACAGAAAATAAAAGCCAGAACGTTATGATGGAACTTTTATAAAACACTGGTTAGGCCTCAGCGAGAGACTGTGTTCAGTTCTGGGCCCCACACGTTAGGAAGGATGTCAAGACATTGGAGAGGGAGCAAAGGAGATTGACCAGAATGGTACCAGGAATGAGGGACTTCAGTTATCAGGAGAGGTAGAGAAGCCGGGATTATTCTCCTTGGAGCAGAGAAGGTTAAGAGGAGACTTAATAGAAGTTTTCAAAATTATGGGGGGAATTGATAGGGTGAAGAAGGAGAAACTATTTCCACTGGTGGGTGGGTCGGTAACCCGAGGACACTAATTTATTATAGTTGTTAAAAGAAACAGAGGGGAGGAGAAATGTTTTCACACAGCGAGTTGTTTGGATTTGATTTACATTGTCTGGAAGGCTGGGGGAAGCTGAATCGATAACAACTTTTAAGAGAGAAGTAGATAATTATTTAGGGAGGACAAGTTTGCAGGGCTGTGGGGAGAGCGCGGGGGAGTGGGGTTGATCAGGGCTATGGGGAGAGAGCGGGGGAGTGGGGTTGATCAGGGCTATGGGGAGAGTGCGGGGGAGTGGGGTTGATCAGGGCTGTGGGGAGAGAGCGGGGGAGTGGGGTTGATCAGGGCTGTGGGGAGAGAGCGGGGGAGTGGGGTTGATCAGGGCTATGGGGAGAGCGCGGGGGAGTGGGGTTGATCAGGGCTATGGGGAGAGCGCGGGGGAGTGGGGTTGATCAGGGCTATGGGGAGAGAGCGGGGGAGTGGGGTTGATTTGGAAGCTCTTTTCAAAGAGCGGCACAGACACGATGGGCCGAATGGCCTCCTTCTGTGCTGTATAATTCTATGGTTCCATGAATATTTGAAGAGTTGAGAGAGGTAACGAGGACTTTTTCCAATCTTCCCTATGAAAGTGGAACGCATTTATTTTGAGTTATTGCTCTTTGTTGAGTCGATGAAGTTTATAAAGAGCTCCGTGCTTTGCGATTTTGATATTTTATTCTGTGAAGCGCTTTAAGACGTCTTGAAACATATATCAAATGCAAGGAATATTATTATTATTATAGCAATGTTTTTAGTTATCCCGGCTGTTAACAGGTCTGTACCTTTCTATACCATTGGAAGGAATTGACCCTGTTATGAAACCATTCGGTGGGAGGGGGAGACGAGGGAATAAAATTGTGTTCTGATGTCTTAAGAAGAGCTTTCTGCTGGGCCTGATGGCCGCTGATATTTTTATAATCTGAAGATAAGCAGGAGTGTGACCATAGTTTTAAAATCGCAAGACCGTATAATGCTCGGGTGTCAGCTGGTGACCAGTCTAGCAGTGGCGAAACTTGCTTTTAACTTGAAAATAAGAATCAGTTCGGAAAATTGTCTGCGGTGAATCCAGTTAATGCTGCAGCCGACCCCACTGATCTGATTCCAAGCCGTCTTCAGAAGGTTGTTTCAAGAGTGTGGGGCTCCACAGGAAATGCACCATAAAAGGCCGCCAGAATTACTGTACTTTGTAATTGCCTCCGAAAAGCTCAGTTTAACAACGAGAGTGACACAGCACCAAAGTTATTTTTAAGCTCGAGTCAGTGCAGGTCAAGGAAGAACTTGCAATTTTAAAAACGTGTGCGGTTTGCTTTCAGCCGCCGCACCCCGAAACTCTGCCACGCTCGCTCTGGAACACTCTTCCTCCGTCCCTCTGCCTCGCCCCTTTCCTTCCCCGTCTTCAGGTCGCGCCTGGAGACCTTCCTCTTCGACCGTGCCTACCGTCAAACTTTCACCCTCCCTCCCCCCATCCGTTACGGCCTCGTGCTCCGCACTGTCAAGCGCTCCGGGATGCTATCCTGCGCGAAGGCTGCTGTATAAATGCAAGTTGTGGTTGTTGTAGCAGTTGTATTGGCGAGGTCTTCGTGCAGATGATGAGCTGGATATTCCTGGATCAGAATTTGCTACATATAATTGTGTAAAATTTAGCGTGCAGAGGGTTGCGTTAGATTCGCATGCTGCCAAACATCATGAAATTCAGTTGTAAGTAATCTGATTTACCGGCAGCTGCAAGGCAAACTCCATGTGAATTCAATCATTTCGACTTGAAACAAAGAACCAATGACGTGTTTTTATTTGAGGTAAACCAAATGATTACGGTGGGGGTGGGGGGGAAGGGGGAAGAGAGGTCGGCCAATATAAGGTTGTCGTGGCTCCGCGTTGGGCAAGTTTCCTTACTCCA